GGGGGGAAATACATGAGACTGGCTTACACCAAAATTCACCAATCTACCACCAAATCCAGTCTCGTGTTTTATTTCCCCCTTAGCTAGGTCGCAAACTTCACGGCAAGTGGCTCTGATAGCCTTGCCGGTGTCAATAGCTCCGTCTGGCTGCTAATCTAGACTCCTCGGCCGCGTCCACAGGAGAAACAATAAACTTTGGCAAGGCCGAAGCGGCGGATACAGGTATGCCGGAGGCTAGTTTATCTGGTGAGCAATCTCATGCTGGAGCCGGATGTCTATGTACTTATACATAGAGCTTTTTGTCTCCTCTTAAGGGGGCTTGAGATCGTCGTGCACCTCTGCCTCATTCGTCTCCAGAGTACATTCGCTTTTCTCAGCTTCCTTTCACTCTCGTTCCTGGTCAGAAGCTATGGTGTCCCAACTTGCGCCTGAACAGCTCGCTGTGACGCCTGTCACTCCGTCCGGCTCTGCACGTGATCCGTTCGACTCTGACGCAGGAGAGATAATCTTGGACTCAGACAGCATCAGCTCCAACACATCTTCAGTAGGGCTCTTGTTCATATTGTTTACCCTTTGCTAACTTTATCTAGGATGACGCCGTCTCAGAGCCCACCAGACCCCCTCCGATTGTCAGGCGTCCACCCCCTAAGCCTCCTGTTCAGCATCAAACAGTCCAGACTGGGCAACAGGATGAAATCGTATGTCAGACTCCTCTAGCTTGGGACAGTGACTAATCCTTCCAGGCACCTGTTATATCTAGCCTACCAGAACAGGAGTTTAACGAGAAATACCAGCCTGAGGGCTCAGACGTCGAAGCCGATGCCGTGTCACCTGCGGTTGCGATAAAGGAAAAGACAGACGAAACTGCACCTTCTGATCGAAATTACAAGGCTGGTCTTTTCTGCCGAATCCACAACCGTTTCCGAAACACCTATTGTCCGAAAGAGGAGCCACCCTTAGTACTTCCAACTTGTCCTAATGATGACGAGAAGCTTTCGTACATTCACACCAATCGGATCTTGCTTTATGCCTTTGGCGTTTTTTCGTTCCTATCTTTGGGTGCCGGTATGTGGCTCTTCGCTCTCTCTGCGCCCTTCTTCTACTGGTATGGTGTCTTTGCTGGTGCCATGTGCATCTATCTGATCATCTCCTATGGTGTCGGTCTCATCGGTAAGGACTGGGACTATAAGGCGCATATTCAACGAGTTGATGCGTACCCGATCACCGAGGAATCGGCACCTACCGTTGACATCTTCCTCCCTTGCTGCTCAGAGCCCCTCGAAATCTTGGAGAATACGTATAAACATATCATAAGCCTCGACTGGCCTACATCCAAGCTCAAAGTTTATGTCATGGATGACAGCGCGCAAGATGCTGTTCGCGAGTTGGCAGAGAAGTATGGCTTTATTTACCACGTCCGCGATGATCGACCTCGCCTGCGGAAGGCGGGCAACTTGCGATGGAACTTTGCGCGCACCGACGGCGAGTACTTCGTAATCTTTGACGCCGACTTCTGCCCGCGACCTGACTTCGTCAAGGAGCTTATCGTTGAGCATCTGGACGATGATAAGACTGCGATTGTTCAGAGTCCCCAGTGGTTCCGAGTCACTGACGACCAGACATGGGTCGAACAAGGAGCAGGAGCTACACAGGAATTGTTCTACCGCGTCGTCCAAGTCAACAGAAACAGATGGGGCGCTTCTATCTGTGTTGGAAGCAATGCCATGTACCGCCGAGCTGCCTTGACTGAAGTAGGAGGTACTGCAGAGATCGGATTTTCCGAGGATGTTCACACAGGGTATGAACACATCGACTTGTGAACTTTGTTTGACCTGGAGCTAACTTGACTCGTAGTTTCGGCGCCGTTGATCGTGGTTGGAAGGTCAAGTATATCCCGTTGTGTCTCGCCACCGGTGTTTGCCCTGCCGGTCCTCGAGCGTTCTTCTCACAGCAAATGCGTTGGGCCAGAGGTAGTACAACTCTGCTCACTAATCCTCATTTCTGGACTTCAAACCTCAACTTCATGCAAAAGCTATGCTATATCTCCGGTGGGTTTCTACGTAAGATATTGAGTGCGGCGTAACATACTAACTCTCGATGCTCTAGGCTTCCTCTACTACTCAGCAGTGTCACTCAATATCTTCCTCTCACCTATCGCCGGCACGCTTCTCCTTGCCTTCCGCTCAGAGTGGTTCAAGGCGTGGAACCTTGCATTCGCTTTGCCGTCCATCTTCTATGGAATTGTCGTTTTCAAAGTGTGGACCAAAGCTTCCTACGGCTTCAGCGTGCAGCACGTCATGGTGATCATGTCCTATGCATACTTGACAGCTATCAAGGACCGCATGTTCAACATCGAGCTGCTTTGGGCTGCCTCAGGTGACTCTAAAGCACATAAGTCTAACAAGTATCGCAACATGCGTATTCTTTGCTGGCTCTGGACTATTATTGTTACAGGTGCCATGGCTGGTGTTGTGACGTGGAAGTTGTTAACAGGTTTCACGTGGTACCATACTTTACCACTGATGATTATTAATCTCTATAACTTCTATATTGCTCATCGTTTTCTTTTCTGTAACTGGTAATATCTTTTACTTATAATTAAAGCTTGCGTTTTAGATATACTATATATAATACCTATAGGATATAGAGTTAGATTTTATAATATATTAGAAATTTATATTTTTTATACCTTTTAGAATATATATTTTATAAACTTATAACTTATACTGCAGCCTATTATTATAACCTAATAAAATATAGCGCTTTTATTATATATACCTTATTAATTCTTATTAATTAAATACTAACTTATATTATATTATATAAAATTACTAATAAGCTAATTTACTAACTTATAATAGACTTATAATTAGATTTATAAATTTCCTATAAGTCTGGCTTATTTAACTATAAGCTATTAATATGTATATATGTATTTATTTAGTATTAAATATAATTTAGCCTATTAACTATTAATAATACTTTTTTACCTTAATAAGCCTTATTTATATTACTAACTATTAAGAGATATAAAACTTCATAATATATTTAATATAAATACCTTATATATTTTATATATTTAAACTTAATATAAAACAATTTCTTTATTTAAAACCTTAACTATTATATATTAATAACTTCTAGTAAGAGGTTGGGCTTTAAAGCAGCCAAGTATGTCGCCAAGCTTTGGGCTTCTAGGCTGATCATGGCGGTACCTCCACCGGAAACGGTGAGGTCGCCGGACAGTTGTCGCAAAATCTACAAGCTGTAAAGCCGCCATTCTGGAAGTGCGGCCTTTAGATCTAGCAAGCCATGCCAGCGTTAAGGCATTTGCCCTACAAGGTATTACCTAGCTGCCCCAACTGGATATAGTGGTCTAATATATAGAGATTGCCTGGATTTAATAATAAGTATTTTATAAAGAGTAATTTAAAATTTAAAATTATTTTAACTTTAGATATTAAAAGTTAAAATTTAAAATTATAGCTAAGAATAAGAAAAGACCTATTAAGTTAAAGAGGTTCTGAAGGGGAGGTAATATATTGCTATTATATAAACTTAACAGCTTATAGCTTAACTGCAGCAATAAGTGATTAACACTATTAAACCATACACTTGCTAAAACCCTCTATCTTAGGCACAACGGGACACTGGATATAGTTGACCCTGCTTCCTCCTACGTGAATGGCATCAGTGGCCTCCTCGTCACACGTCTCCCCATACCAAAGCCGCATCTGGGGCCCTTCATAACCAGGAATATCTGGCTGCTCTTCCGAGGGACAAATGTCCACGCGCAGTGTCCAGCCTTTCCGAACTCGCGCCGCAGCAGGTAGGATTTCCACATCCACCTGGACCACGTCGTCGATGCCTTGGAGAGGCGCCAGGTCTTGGGCAGTGTGCGTGTGCCACGGCCGCCATGGGAGAGACCTTGTAACATCCGTCTTTCGATGACTGACACGAAGGAAACCCTTAGCCAGAGGCTCTGGCGCCGAGCTGCTGGCGCCATAAGCGACGACTTGGTCTGACTCGTTGACGGCCCAGAGAAGGACGGCGACATCTGCGTCAGGGGCCGTTGAGCAAACACTCAGCACAGCAACGAAGTGACCCGCAAACTCCACGTCTTCTTGAAAGGGAGCCGAGTGGAAGCTGACACCCGATTTCCCATGTTGAGGACTTCGTGACGGGTATTCTAATCGAGTTTCTTCCGTATTTACTGGTGGTGTTTCACTTAGCTCTTTGGCTGCGGTGAGATGCCACTTTCTGTACTGTGTTCCTGGGACAGGCCAGTTCTGTTCCTTTCTCCAGTACCAATCTTGGTTGCCTAACCTCATCTGGATTCCAACTGGCTCCGGAGCAGCACAGTCTTTGGACTTCAAGTGGTGATTGAGGAACTGAATGATCTTAGCGGACGCCTCTCGGCTCCCCCACGAATAGTAGTTGGAGTCGACCAGTTGAAGATGCGTGTTATCAGGCTGACGTACCATCCATGCCTCATATGCACCACGTCCGTGGATCATGAAGATCTGTGATGCAGCTAAGAAGCAGGGAATGTTGACGGATCTATCAGGCTTTGAGTCCAGCATAGCCCAGATTTCATTGTACGTCGGATTGCTTTTCATCATCTGCTCAACGTCCATCTGATCATCCCATTTTGGTGAAACACCACGAACTCGGGCGAACCAGTTTTGGAGATAGCGAGTAGAAGGAATGCCACCGATGTAAGCAGCCTCACGGTACGAGTCAATGTCAGCTGCATGAAGACGTCAGCCTAACTGGCCTTTTGCGATCCTTGAACTGACAGGGAGCTGTGGATATAGTATACTCACTGGCATATGGTACAATGCACTTCAAACCCTTGGGTTGCAATGCAGCTGTCGCCCATTGCGTGTTTGCTCCGTATGAACTTCCTACGAGAGCCGAAGTTCCATTGCTCCAGGGCTGCTCGGCGCACCATTCAACAGCGGCATAAAAGTCGCCAGCGAGTTGTCCAGGAACCCATCGCTTACCCCTGGTCTGCGAGACGCCCCTGGGGTCGACCCTGACCATTGCATAGCCGTATGGGACGTAGCTGGAGGTGTTGAAGGTAGCAATGTTCTCAAAGCCCCGTTGTGTGGTGAAGAACTGCGACCATGGACCTAGATCGAAGAGGTTAAGTTCATTCCCAGCTGCCGTTGAGTGCCACTCATCTTCTGCGCGCTCGAACCGCACAATATCATCCTGATCGTTGATATCTGGTCCACCCCATGGTACCCGCCGGCCATAGAGCGTGCAGCTGAGGAGAACTGGAAACTTCTTGCCAGGCTGCAGAGGCAGATAGACGTCGGCTAAGACCGAGCTTCCATCAGGCGTAGGGATTACAAGATCACGGAGGACTCTGAAGCCCGCATAGAGACGACGCAGGTGGTTCCGTGTGTGAGGAATAGACTTCGGTCGTAAATTGAGCTCGGAACAGATCTTGCTGAGCGGCTCGTCAAGGTCCGAAAGACGTTCAGAGTCAAGGTCAATCTCAGATGCGTATTTACCAACGACGGCTTCCACCTGTTTCGAAGAAATTAGATTCCCGGTTATGAATAGATAAGAAACCGTGGTTCAGTAACAGGATAGGTATAGTTAGTGGTGTCTTCTTACAGTCTGATCTATGGTGATGGGCTTCTCGAATCCCTGGCCCGAGCTCAGGCTGAAAAGCAATCTGGCTCGGTTGACCATGGTAGGATGAAACGTAGCCGTATTGGCAGGTACTAAGTCTAAAGTCGTCATAACAGCCTTTCCGATGCTCTTACCGAGGACCAGGCTGCCGATAGAGAAGACGATTTCTGCTCCACGCTCGTAGGAGTAGTGAAACTCGGCAGAGGTGACGCTTGTTGTGGAGCCACTCTGGTAGGTGAGTCCCGCGACGTCGATGAAAATTCCAGTGTTTGCCATTGTTAATTGATTACAACTTTTGCTGATAGTGGTTTTAGGGTGTAATTAAAAGCTCTATGTGTCTATATATATCAGTATCTCAGCTGTCGATGTAGTCCGAGCAATGCCGACTTTCCGGGCACATTCAATTCCTTTCACACAAGATCCGTAATGACGAATTCGGAGTAATTAATCGCATGAATTTCCTTTTCATTGATCTGCGTCAGCTGTGAAAGCCATTATAGTCGGCTTTCTGGACTAAAGCCCGGACGGCAGTCTCGGAGATGGAAAACCAGCCACTGCCGAATTAGCACATTCCCGAAAATGGAGATGATCCGGCGTGGCTGGGTAGTTTTAACGGGTATTGGACGACAGCCCTGTTAATGCTTGCTAGCTTAGCACTTTTCCCGAAATGGAAATGTTCCAACACGACTTGGTAGCTTCAGCGGACATTGGAGGGTCAAAGCCCACTGCTCTGTAGACTATTATAATGGATATTCTGCTTCACGAGTGAGAGGAAATGATCTTTCTTCGGTACGAGTCAATATAACCCCAGCTACAAAACACGCACACGTCAGAGCAGAGATGGCGCCAATCCAAAGGGTAGAGTATTCATGATTCTCTTTCACTCAGTTCAAGTTCTTACACGACATTTAATAGGCCATCATCATCGGTGGAGGGCCAGCTGGTCTCGCTGCAGCTATCCGTTTGAAGACGCACAATGGTATTGACACAGTGGTATATGAGATTCGACCTGAACCAACCACCTTGGGCGGTGCCGTCAACATACCATCCAATGGTCTTCGCCTTTTTGACCGTCTGGGTCTCTACGACAAACTTGTCTCTCTTGCGTCTTCTGCTTCACAGCTCATCGTTCATTCTCGCCAAGGCACAGTCCTCGCGGATCTCGATCTCGCAGGATGGAGCCGCGACCAAGTCGGCTACGGCTTCATGCGTGTGTTGAGAAGAGACCTGATCGAGGTGCTGCTCGAAGAAACAACAAAACAAAATGTCCCCGTCATCTTTGGCAAATCAGTGACCAAAATCGTCGAAACCGAGAGTCAAGCTACTGTCACCTTTGCCGACGGAACAACCGACACAGCTGATTTACTTCTGGGCTGCGATGGCATCCACTCGGCTGTTCGCAGCTTACATGTCAGCCCCAACGCTGCCCCAGAGTACACCGGCATCGCCAACATGTTCACCATCCTGCCAGTATCTGAGCTCTCAGAGGCAAACCGCGAGCTGGCCCCAGCTCTGCACGCCACTCTGACCAGACAAGGTCTGTTTGGCGTCATGCCTTGTACCGCGTCCGGAAGTCATCTGTATTGGTTCTACTCTCGACAAGTCCCTCTCCCAAGCGGCGACAGCAGGGAAGGGTGGGAGACTTACAACAAGCAGCAGGTCGCGGGCTTCAAGGAGAACCTGGAAAGTGTATTCGCCGACGCTACCGGCCACTGGTCGGACCAGTTGCGGGAAATGGTACAAAAGACAGACACTATCAAGTTCTACCCACTGTACAAAATGCCTCCGGATATCAAGTGGTTCACCAAGCGCTCTCTGATCTTGGGTGATGCAGCCCACGCAATGCAACCTCACGCAGGCCAGGGCACCTCGATGGCGCTGGAGGACGTATTCCTGCTGTCACGGCTGCTGGAACAGCCCAGCCGACCCCTACCAGAAGTGTTTGAGAAGTATCAGGCCATCCGCCGGCCTCGAGTCGAAGCTATCGCAAACGCGTCGGCTTCCAATGGAGAGATCCGAAAGGACACTGGGCCCATCGCGCTCAAAGTCAAGGAATTCACCTTTTGGGGCTTGTTCTCGATGTACAAGATGGTGGGCCTACAGAAGTGGGGGATCGGTATGAACCAAAAGGATACCGTCTACGATATCATGGCGGAGCCGATATGATCAGGAGTTTGTGGAAGCTAGGGAGTTTTTCATTTGTAGCCGGATATAGAAGAATGTAACTATTTCACTGCTGTTATACTACGAGACTCTAATCTCATATGAGTCTAGAATATCACTGTCTTCAAAATTGGGTGCTTAAATAGATAGACTATCAAGTTGCAACAGCCTACTTGGATATTAGTTCGGTCACTCGCTTGGCCAAAGCGAAGGTGATTGATTCCAGTCATCCCAAAGTTCGAAACCGTGTTCGAAATTAAACGCATTCCCAAACTCAAAAAGGTTCCCAAAGTCGAAATTGCACGTAGAATTAGTCCTATAAGTTTGTGGACATGCCTCACCCGAGCTGGCAATCATGGGGAACGGGAGGTCAGTCTGGTGCTTCAATTTGCTTGAGCGAGGACTAGCATATCTCGGAGGCAACAGAGAAAGAAAGCTCAGCCATTTTTGATGCAGTGGACCGTTGAAATGATCCAAGATCCGTTCTATGTCTTTCGGTTGTAGTGGCCCGATAAGTTTGCGGACCAGCGCATCGTAACAGTCTATCAATATTATGGTCAGCAAGCCCAAGTCAGCTTGGCCCGGAAATGTGCTCATACCTAAAAGGAATCGAGGTAGAGTCCAGTGCGTTGCATAATTATGCAGGAACAGCCTGACGATGTTTTTTCGCCTCGCGACAGGTTCCTGCAGTAGCGGATTAGACACAACGCTCGACAGACTATGCAGATGCAGCAGCATCAGCAATGAGAGACATATGAAGCACATGGCCGGGTCGATGGCTGGACGATCTGGCACGTCCCACTGCTGGATGACCTCGACCATGCGGTAGCAAATCTCGAGGTTTTCTTCCCATCGAATATCCCAGCCGGGCGTATCGAGAGAACCGCAAGGAAGACGCATAAGCAGACGCGCGCTATGAATCTTTAGCAAGGTCATTAGCCGCCAGTGGCAGTTGTTATCTGTCTCTCCGCGGAGTATGTCGCGCGTCTGCCGCATATAGTTGGACGGCAGAGCCAGCTGTACAGCACTCAAATAGTCTTCCAGTGCCGACATGCTTTGTTCTGAAGAAACAGACGGATTTTGGCAACGTCGACGGTACGTGGTGACGACTTCTTTCAGCAGGATGCTGATGACCAGATGCAGGCTAGCAGCGTTGTCGCCGCCTGTACTCGCGATGTCTTGGGCAAGTCTCCACAGATCGGCCCGGTCTGGCGGTAGGAAGAGCTTCTCTGATGGGGTGCTCTGGTTGATATCGAGCTGCGGCTTGTTCTGTACGAGGGCTGTTCTTATGCTCTCCGTCTCGACCTGATGTGGTGTTGCCGTCGAAAAGCTGGCGCAGCAGTCTAGGATATAAACAGCCCACCAGACGTGGCGCCAGTCTTCCAGCAATTCCTCGCCCATCTTGTCCCAGCCGAACGACGCCTGGTTCTCGGGACTGTCAATCTGGTGCAGCCCGCACTGATAGGCCTTCTGGGTCAGCACGGTGATGCGAATCGCTTCGCTGTTTCCGGGCGTCTGGTGGAAGCAGTACCACGCAAGTAAACACGCGGTGCGCCATTGGTTGAGGGCAAGCGGCTCCGTGACGCTCTCGGCTTCGATCTTGGCTGACTCGGCAAGGCTTACCAGCGCTGCATGCACGTCAACGTTGCCAGACAGAAAGTTTGTCTCGGTGCCTTTCGCCGATAGTGCATATATGACGGGCAGTAGAGCACCGCATATGGTGCCATTTTGTAGCTGTTCCAAGAGCGATTCTCGCCGAAACAGTGGAAAGACTGTGTTTATGGTGCAGCCAAACCGCTGACCTCTGATTTGTTGTAAGTGTACTATGTCTCTCTAGAGAGAAGAAGGGGAAACAAGAAAAAACTCACAATTCAAAGGCTTGAGTCGGGAGAAGAAGTGAACAGTGCAGCGTCAGAGTTTCTGCGTCGTCGAGTGTAAGCTGCGGCGTGATAGGCATCATCTGCCGAGATACCGTGGATTGGCCTGTTGTGCAATCTGCATGAAGGGTTAAGAAACCAAGATTTGTCGTCCACCAATCAGATAGCCGACTCACCATTTTCAGGGGATTGATCTACTTTCTGAGGCCTCTTTGCAACCCTGCGTGAGCCTTTGCTAGGCCCTGGCCTCTTACGCACTCGCGAGTAAACACAACCCTCCCCAGCATCACTACAGTTTGAGCAGCTAGGGTATCCCAAGTCGCCTTGCGGTTCACCAGCAGCGGTTAGCAAACGCATGAGTAGCCTCCATCGAGTTCAGACACTTACACTTGACCTTTTTCCTACATCAAGTTAGACTTCGATCAGAAAACCAATTAAAATGATCAAATAAAAACTTACTGAATGCATCGGTCACAGACGCGATTTGATTGGACCGGTTGACTAGAGTGGGGGACGCTCGGCGTCCATCGAAATCCTCCGTCGGCGTTTGGCGGAGTTTTATAAAACGCCGGTTTGACCGCAGACATTGCAAGGTGCTGAGAATGAGAATGAGAATGCAGCAAAACTGACAGCCCTGCCCTCTCAGGGCGATTCTCTGGGCGAGGAGGATTGGTCCGAGTATCTCGTTGGGTCGGGAACAAAGACCTCAACAGCCAGATTGGAGCAGCGAGTGGGCGTACCAGAAACAAGAGATTCTGCATAGAACGGGGACAATGTTGTTAGAGCAAGAATAGTCCAGGAGCCGAGGAATGTGTCGCCCCATCAAGAGCAGATCCAGATACGTCATTGGGCTGTGCATGAATCGCACTATCAGGGCGGAGTCGGGAGTAAAGCCTACCCCATTGGGGTCGTCAGCACAGTGGCCGGGGTAGAAGGCATGGAGTCCCTCCGGCGGTTTTATCCCGGTGTAGGCAATTCGTCAGCGTGCTGGTGCGCATGAAGTGGTGAACCTAGGAAGCGTTTAGGTGACAGCTCGGGAAACTGTTGAGGGTACTCGCTGCATAAATATATTCCTGTCTCCTTTGACCCTTCTTTCTCTTGGTACTTCACATCTTCTATCCCCTATTTGGTCAATGTTGCAAGCCCAATACCATCAACACGCCTGAAACCACGTCATGGCTTCATGTGAAGCGCCCACCGGGTCCCAATTGCGCCTTCCATGCGGCCTCGTCCTCAAGAATAGGCTCGTAAAATCAGCTATTTCCGAGAAAGTGGCCATCGACAACTTGCCAGGACCAAGCCATCTCAAGATATATCGGACATGGGCAGAGGGCGGTTGGGCGGCTCTGATCACTGGTACGAGGAGCTCCCACCAACGAAAGCAAAGCCCTGGATCTCATACTCAACGTTTGACCGTTAGGAAACATAAGTGTTGACGATACATATCTCAGCACCGTCAGTGACGTCGCGCTTTCTGCGTCAAACGTAGCCGTAACTTTGGAGAAGTGGTCTGCCTAGGCGCGGGTAGCTCAAGGACACAATTGCCATATGATTGCCCAGTTTTAAGACTCCATCTTCGTTAGATTTGCTCAAGTTTGATGCTCACAAAGTTGTATAGGAGCCACCCTGGACGACAATCGCCCCTTGGAGCTGGAAAGAAAGGCTTCTTCACCAAGAACATCGCACCCAGCGCCATCCCGCTGAACTTGGGCAACAGCCTTGTTGCTCGCTGTGCATGTGCCTTAGTTTTTGGCACACCACGTGCCATGACTGAAAACTACATTGACAGAGTTATCGCTGCCTTTGTTTCTGCAGCAAACATGGCATTTCGTGCGGGGTTTCAGGGCGTCGAGGTCCATGCAGGGCGTGAGTAGCACGTGATTATTCTCCTATGGCCCGAACTAATATTCTCAAACCTCAGATGGGTTCCTCCTTTCTCAATTTCTATCTTCCTCTTGGAATGAGCGCGAGGATCAATTTGGAGGCTCACCTGAAAACCGGGCTGAAATTGTTCTACGCGTCATCAGGGCGATCCGTGATCGAGTACTCACCACGTTCTGCATCGGAGTCAAGATTAACACTGCAGGCGTCAGAGATACTACACAGTATAGCGATATGATCCGCCAGATAGAACTGATTAAGGAGGAGAAGATTGACTACATCAATCTCAGTGGAGGCAGCTTTGAGGACCCAAAGGTAGGGCTGCCCTTTGTTATTGCTAGCCAGAGCATCATTTCATGTATTCGCAGATGCTTTTCCCAAGCCAGTCTATCTCGCCGACGGCAACTTTCGGGAGCGCCACTCAAGATGCCTTCTTCCTACAGGCAAGTCGCGACATCAGTTCCAAGTTTCCAGACTTGACCCTGATTCTCACCGGTGGCTTTCGTTCACAAGCAGCAATCCACTCAGCGCTTGATAGCGGAGCCTGCAGCATGGTTGGAATTGGGCGGCCAGCTATCAAATATCCCGATCTACCCAAGAGGGCGTTTTCAGAAGAGCCAACCCAGGTAAACTTTGATGTGGAGGCTGTGCCGTCGTCAGGTTGGATGGGTACCAAGATTCGATCTCTTGGGGCTGCGGCGGAGGTGAAATATTGGGCCGAGGCGTTACAGCGACTGTGAATAGTGGCGTTTGTTTGAGCGAATAGGTGGTGCTTTTGATACACGGTAGATATGACCCGGCTAAGTGGGCTTTGCGAGACATCCGTTAAGTCGGAGCAGTACATATTAGGGTGGTGGAAATTCTCCTGCACCCTGCGCAGTTGGTCAAGGGATTACACCAAACACTGGTTACATGATAGATATCATTACAATAGCGAAGTCGCATTCTCGGTCTCGCGCATATCACCTGCCACGGGAGACCTCCATTTGAGCTACATAGCCTTATCTAGTTATTTGGATCTGACTTTACACGAGGATATTACCAAAAATCGTCGAAGCTTAAAACCTAGGGCATGTAATGGACTTATTGCGAACCAACATGTGCACAATTGCACAATGAACCAAACAGCTCAGGCGAGATGGCCCTCCCGATTCTCGCTGCTTGGTCGCTTTACTGGAATCTTTGCAATCACGGACTCTTCATAGTCATTTGAGGGCATTCTATCCAAGTTCCTACAGTACTTTAAGCGCTCTGTCCTGGCCTTCATCGGGAAATACGAAAGGCCTTCTGGAGTGATAGGCCGATGGTGAAAAACCTTACTTCGGACGTAGCATATGACTATCTTAATCACCTGGTCCCGAATGCTTGACTTGATGTGCTGAATGTTAGCGTGTAAGACTCGTATACTTAGAAATGTTCATTTCTACTTACAAGTTGTAGTGTCTTTGTGTACTGGCCGAATGCCACCAGAGGCATTAGGGATAAATTACCAAGCAACAGGCTTATCACCCAGTCACGATTCCAATGTAGATAATGCGGCCATATAACGGCCATTATAATATAGGTAATAATACGTGGCATCGCCGTATAACGGCGAAAATATTAACATTGAATGGTTGCAGCGCCTTGTTCACCTCCAAGTCGGCCGCTGTGGCAACGTGATATATTCCGGGATTGGTAAATGAGATGCTGATGTGGCCCCCTAAAATGAGGAATTAAACACAGCTCGCGTTCAGAATATGAGTGTCACAACATTGACGATTAATGGTCAAGCAGTGGATGTATGTCGTTTTGCGGAAGGATATGCTACACCGAGGCTCGGCGCCAAGAGCCCCAATTTGAGAAGCACTGTCTCCGACTAATCGAAGTTCCTCCGGTAAGCCCCTGGCAATTCAACGTTCCTCCGGCGCTTTGGCCGGAACATCTCCCCATTTGCAATCGCCCAATATCATTGGCTGTTGGCTGCAACCCCATATTTTCTCTTGACAATGGTTTTCTCACTGCCTGTTGGCCCATCGCAGGGGCCGTGTCAAGGCCTTCATCATGCCCCTAAACGATCAGCAAAGCAGCCCTGCCTGGTCGGGGGAGGGACCCCATCGGCAACTAGTTGCCTCACATATAACTGGCCAAAACTTAGATTTCTGATCAATTAACACGATAATGAGTTAATGCGCTGGCATAAAATTTTGTTTGATCGTAAACAGCTGGTCCTATCGGAATAAGGATACCTAATGGTTTCTCCGAAGATGCAGTCGTGGATATAGAAGGTCCGACGGACTTTGACACTAATGTCCTGAGCGGTACTGAGCTTACGCACCACCTTTAAAATAAACAACAGAGAGACTAGTAAGAAATTAAGGTTAAAGCTTATTTGATAGTCAGATGGAGTAACAGCCCCTCTCCTATTACTGTTTAGGAAGTCCCCGTCGATATGCTTATTTTTGAACGCGCCAGCTTCTTCAACGCCCCTTTTCACAGCCTCAATGGGAAACCCACCAGCAAGCTTGAATGATAGAAGCAGTAATTAGTCTCGAGGGAGTTTCGTTCCACATATATAATCTAGATGTTGTTCATTCGTCATGCAGTCCGTTATATATGCTCAACCAGAGTCAGGTGTTTACTAGCCAACCTCTTCCCAACCATATCACTTGAATACTTCGAACACAACCAACATTATGTTGCGTCTTTCACTGGGAATGTCTCGTTTAGTAGATATCGCCACTTTGTCTCTCATCCTTGGTAGCTCGGCTGCCGCCTCAATTGTCCTTACCTTTTTCCCTTGCTATGCAACACTTTGTTCCGAGGAATACTTCCCTTTTGAAACCCGAGTGCATCTCATCATATACTATGGATTCCTCATACTTACCACTTTATTCTTTATTCTTCGCCAGTATAGCCAAACTGCCCGATCGCTCAGTGGCTTCCACCTCTTCCACCAACTGCCGCTATTAGGCAAGCGAATCACTCTAGGCGGTCTCTTATTGTTTGTCTGGATCTTGGCTGTTGTGGGCGCCCCGACTGCTCTATGGCTGCCGGCCCAAGATCAGTTCTGGGGTCTAAGAGCGGACCCTCTGAACTGGTCGTCAGCCAAGCTGCTACTGACAATTACAGGCGTAACCGGTCACTACGCCGACATTCTACTCGGCCTTTTGATTATACCAGTGTCCAGAAACAGCTTAGTTGGCCACGCCTTTTCTCTTCACCAGAGTTCTCTGCTCTTTGCCCACAAGATGATCTCGTACCTCTTCGCAATCGGCGCGACAGCACACGGAGTCTCATACATTGTAAGTGCTGACAGAGAGGCACAGGCTTGGAAGCAGACGCTAATCAAAACAAGGTGTACGCCACAGATGGCAGCAGTGAGGGAGACAAGGCGAAAGAAGAGGCTTTTGCCACTGGCAACCCGGCCATGACGCTTACAGAGAGCAAGCAACGCAGCAGTTGGTTTACTATGACCACCTACACTGGAATTGGAGCGCTTCTTCCGATATTCCTGATTGTCCTGACCTCCATCCCATGGATCCGCAGACGCCACTACAACCTCTTCTACTACAGCCATGTCTTCCTCGGCACCATCATTTTTGCGGCATCCTGCATTCACGCAAGCACCGACTTATATCTTCTCATTCCAGGCCTTTTATTGTGGTTCATCGACTTGATCCGACGGTTTTTCTTCGGCGAAACCAATGGGCTGTCCAGGACGGTCCTCGCGACTCTCAAAAACGCAAACAACGGTTGGGTCAGGATCTCTCTTCCAGCATCCGAAAGGACAGAACTATCAGTGGAAAAACGAGTTTCTTCTACGCAGCCGCTCTGCTATTACTATCTCAACTTCCCCAGCGTTAGCAAACTCCAAAACCACCCTTTCACCGCTGCTATACCAAGCTCATCCGTAAGCGGTCCAGTATTCCTCCTACAACGCACCAAGGGCAAGAAGCAGAAAACACTGGACAAGGAATGGACCTGGGTTCTGGCCTCTATGGTTCCAAGCCCTTTGAGTAGCCTGCGTCTTGACGTTCGGCTAGAAGGGCCGTACCCTATCAACGATTCGGGTTTTAACTCTGCTTCTCACCTCATATGCATCGTAGGGGGAACTGGAGTAACTGGTGCCTGCAGCCTCGCCCGGTGGTGGTTAGAAACACGACGTGATGCCTCCAAGTTCACCCTTCTTTGGACAGTGCGACATCAGGAGATGGCGATGTTCCGGGAATGGGAAGAGCTACAAGACATGTCACAGTCCCTGACGAACATGACTGTGACTGCACACATCAGCTCCGAACACGGAAGATTGAATGCATTTCAATCGTTGCAGCAAGCTCTTCAGCCCATGGATCGGCTGCCTGAAGGGGCCGCGTGGGTTTACAGCTCTGGACCCGACGCACTTCTCCGCTCCACCGAGCATGCGTGTATCAAGGCAAAGAATGACATCCGTTTGAGTAAGCGAGGTCGGGGCACAGTCAATTGGGCAGTCCAGGATATTGCATGGTATATGGCCAGGTGGGAAGTGTAAGGCGGTAGAAGGAAGGGCAGATGAGACTTGTGATGCGTATTCTTGAAAGTCTCAGCAGCTCAGTTTTTCTTTACTTCTCGGCCTACAAAGGCAAACTTGACTTGTTACGATGCCTGAGTGGCTAATAGTAGGATTCAATATATCACTTGGCAAATTTAGAACCTATGTCGCTTCCCTACTAGACGCTGGAGAAGTCCATTAAAGTTGATGTTCATCACCAAGCTTTCAGGCACTACTCTTCAGCTCAACGTGACTCTTGCTCTGACCTCGGCTGGCTGATGTAGCTCAGCATTGGTGCATAGGGTAAATTCTCAGCGAGCTTAGACTTGAGGTCAGTGGGCCATCGCTTGGAAAGCTCATCCCACTTCCACTTCGGAATCTCGCGAATTATACGGAGTACAAGGTGGATCATCTACAAAGCTTTCATAAAGCGAAATGAGTGTGGAGTGCGCAAAGCAACGGGAGCTCCCGCCGCGGACGCGGCAAGCGGATTATTTCTGCATGTACAGTAGACCACTTGGAAAAAGCAAAAAGGGTTCGGCAATTGGTCGAGCCGTAGGGACCATCTGCAGGCGGCTGATTGTTGGCAAGGCAAGATTGCTCCGGACGGCTAGCCTAAGTGCCAGAAATACAAGGGACTTAGTACAAAGCCTTGTCATTTTATAGTGAGCTTAGAAGAATTCTTGAGGAGCCTTATTCAGTCCGCTGGGAAGAGATCTGAAGCCATTTTGTTGCCACGATGAAGTTCCTAGCATTAGCTCCAAGTCCCCATATATCCACTACTACTGCTCCATTAACAACTAACTAATCTTATTCATGATCCTTGTATCTCATTCATTCGATTTGCACACCAAGAATTCTTCTCTCTTTCCTCCTTTCTAGTGATGTTTTGGCCGGCAGGAACTCCAGTCCCTCTCGAGATAACCAGTCATATTATCAGTCAAGCCAATGCAACTATAAGATCTACAACACGAGTTCCAATCACCCTTGTCAACTAAAGTGACAATGCTGACGGTTCAAGACTAGTTGAGAAGAAATGCATGGTCGCGACAAGAAAATACAGGCATCAGACCATGATGCATATTCATGATTCATGTACCAACCCAGGGCTATCACGAGACCTTAAAAAATCGTAAGGAGACTAACAAAAAACAAGATTCTGCATTTCTGAGGTTGGTTTCTGATCTGAGGCTTGAAATAAGGCCTCCCACCTCGGAAAGAACTACTGCTGTATCACCGTGTCATCACACCGATCCAATTCGTCTTGGTCTGTCACTCCGTTGCACAAGCACAAAGCCTCAAGGTCGTGGCGATCGACGATCACCTCGGTCAATACGACGTTGTACTATGGCAAAGATTGATATCGATTTCTGTACGCCGATGAAAGCCATATTGCATGTTGCAGATCTTGGGGGAGCTGAAACATGTAGCGATAATCTAAGTAATGATCTCCAAGAAATAAGATAGTCGACCAAGTGGCTGAGCCAGTGCTGTTACCCTATTGGATCCCTTTGACAGGTAACGAGTAGTAGGGATAGCGACTGCAGACTATCAGACCGAGTCAAGCCTGACTGACAAATCGTGAGGCTGGTGGGCATTTGGAGTGGTAATACAAACTCCGTAAAAATACGGAACTTCTAATCAGAGTATGTAAAGCGCAGATCCCTCTTGTTTTCACCTCCCTCAGCGATTCCCCTTCGTAAACCAAGCCTTTTATGAACATGCTCCTCTGAGACATCCCAACGGGTCTTTGGCTGGCTTCCCGTGGCAGGGGTAAAAAAAAGCATGTCAGTGTTGCCACTGAACGGTTTGATAGAAATGTTTTGTAATTTTTGGGGCTACTACTACGGCACATGCATACAATCCACTTTCTGTTCTGGACCAACAGAGCCTGTTTGGGGTTCATCTCCCCTGTCAGCGTTACGAGAGCGCTTTACCACGTTGAGGAGCGATCTTCAGCAGGAAAAAGGAAAGCCAGAAAATACTTCAGTGCGCTGTGCTAAAGTCAGACGCCAGATGTAACGCTCTCTGCCCTCGTTTTGGCCCTTGCGTTCTTCTCCGCATAACACTCATCAGCTAATTCTGCCCTTTTAGCATTTTCGTCCCATGAGAAGCACTGATCATCGGCGTCAAGCCACCGGGCTGAGACTTCCGGCAATTGGGTCCAATCAAAACCGTAGTCTCAGCCCTCCCTACCGGGCTATCGGCAATAAGACGTTCACTTACTGGGTGAGACTCTGCAGGCTAGACTTGCCCTTTTGTCGATCAATGCAGAACTGCAGCTAAGACAATTGAGCCAGGAACACGCGTGGCCGTCTCGGTCTAGGGCATTGTTTGCGGGTCGTTAAAAAGAAGTAATTATGCCAAGTTTACTGCGGATTAACCCCCCAATTCGTTGTGGCTGCATATTGGGCTGCGGGCCCGTTTTGGCTTTCAGCCAAGGACCGGGAGGGGAGAGCAAATGAGGGCCCTTGATGCGGGTGCTCGAGTTGTCGTTGACGACGTGGCTACCGCGAGACCCTAGTGCCTCACAGCAGCAATCCACTACACTCAACGTTTTATGCTGTGCGTTTTCAAGATTTCAGCTCTGAAAAGTGTCATTTTTCTCATGCATTGCTTGTAGACTTACGTCGTGGATCGACTGCAAGATTCGGAACCGCGACTGGCTCCATGACGATGCTGCGTCTTGGTCACGGAGCAAAGGTCCGAAGCCACTGCAGTGCCACGATGTAATTTTCTTGCTTTCTCTTCAATGAAACCTACTGAGCTCACTTTGCTGTTCATTCAATACTGCAACTGCTCTGTCCTATTCTTAGCTGAAATTGGACTTGATGCCCTGAATCCCCATATTGCGGGCGCTAACCAAAAGATACCGGGGCTATCCGTTGGCCTGAAAATTTACGAGCGGACCCTCGCCCTACAATTCTAAAATACTTAGCGGGCATCGGCAGTTAGAGTCGTACTGTTACGCAAAAAGTATATTGAAACAATGCAACCATCCCTGTCAGAAATTGAGGCGTGACAACGAGGAAACAAACATGATCTGAGCAGGGAAAACATGGGTCCCTCCCTTATCCTGGCCAGGTACCGAGTGGATGATGAAGATCACAGACCAAGGGAGGAAGAGTTGAGCCCCACTAGCAAACACAGACCGGTGCAGTGATCGCCCCGAGTTCCGCTGCTCAAAGTCTCTGGACTCGACTCAGCTGAGATGTGTGATGCGGAATATCGTCACGTAACATTATGGCTTGGAGTAATCTCGTACAGTCAGGGAGACGGGCGCTTGATCAGGGAACTCGACGATTCTGGTATGAAGCGTCAAGTATAAAGAGGCCATCATCCTCCCTCTTGGACTCAAAGTCCTCATCAACACTCATCAGCATCTTCATCAGCATCCTCAACACCTTCAAACACTTTACACTCCTAAAACCAACACTTTCAACTCAACTCCATTCAAAATGCAGTTCACCAAGATCGCCTCCGTCCTCGCCATGGCCGCCGCTGCCATCGCTGCTCCCGCTCCCGGCAACTACGAGGTCGAGCCTCGCACTGGCGGCAGCAACAATGGCAACAACCAGCCCGCCTGCTCTGCCCAGAGCCAGAACGTTTGCTGTGACGGTCTCGGCTGTGTCGTCCAGATTCTTGGCTCCGGTTGCTCCACCACCTCTTACTGCTGCCAGTCCAACTCCCCTCTGGCCGTGGTAAGTAGCCCAGAAGAGGGATAAGAAGATCTGATACTAACTGTTTTCAGGGTGCCCTCATCAACATCAACGCCCTCAACTGTGTCAAGGTTCTCTAATTGACACGCCTCGGCGACTTGACCTACGCTATGGAGTAACTAGTTGGATTGTTGGATATCAGGGCACATACGGTGGGAGGATCTGACGGAGAAAGCCTATGCCAGCTACTCCGTATGTCAATAGGCAGTTTTGATGTTTGTATTTACTTCGATGACCTTAATCTTAGGTTGAATATACATACAGGGGTTATACTTTACATTCTTTTGATTATTGACTGTGAATGGTCATGACAACAACAAACCTAATTAGATCACATGAACTGCCCTAAGACAAGGATACAGCTGATTAAATTAACCAAAAGTCACATTCTGAGCAACTTCAACTCTACTCATCATACTCTCGTAAACTTGTACTCAATGGAGTCAATGCCGGTACCGGATGCTGCGGAGTTCAAAACTCAATCACACAATGTAACCCAGGGATCCCTGACAATCGGCCCATCCATAACCGTTGAAGAAACAACTTAAATTAGTTAAACTACATCTCTGACCTATAGCAGCAGGTGCACGTTTTGAAAACTGTTGAGGTCGTATCCATGCTCGAATAGATCGTTCCAGGCTGTGTCGATGCTTGGCGTAGGATACTCCTGACGAGGTGGTGGATTCTGACTTTTGACTCCAAACCATGACATGAACTCTGTGTCAATCTCGCCTTCGGCATGTGACGTGTTGTCGAAAATTGCCAACGTTGCATTGCCCAATCTCCGTATGATCTGGGTGCTCCTCTCACCAACCTTTTTGCCGTGTGATATTTTGGACAAGAGTCTCACGCAAGTTTCGATATTGGCCTCGACGACTTCCCTTGTGAGTTCAAGACGGACCACGGAACTCGCTCTGATAGAGTACAGCATCGTAACAGCAGCCATGAACAGTGAGTCTAGCGCCACAAACGTGTAGATTATCTTGTTCTTCGCGTATAGAGCGTTATAGCAGCTAATAAGGCTTATGGATGAATCCGCGCATAGTCGAATGGCATCTGCGCTGCTCACTGGCGATGCATGAGATGGTCGGTGGAGGTTGATGACGGCTTGGTGATATGCGATTTGAAACCACTCTGGCGTTTGGTACATCGACAGTGGCGCAAGGTATCTCGGGGCGGAGAGAAGCCATGCGTTAAGACGGGTGTAATGCTGTTGGCGTATGGAGTCGAGGTTTCGGCCTTGGAGGTTTATGCCGCCTGCCGAGTGGAGGGCGGAGTAGATTCCCGCGTTGATCTGACGTAGTTCGACGATATGACGAAATGCAGACATGTCTCTGACGTCGGGAAGAATATTCGCTATGGCTTGGTCTGCAGGTCCGGCAATTTGCTCATCGGTGAGGACCAATGGCAGGGGTACCGTGATATCAGCGTCCTGAATACCCAATGGTCTGCCGAGAGAGATTGAGACACTTCGGTCCATGGTGTACAGGCTCCAGAATAACCGTTTTCGCATCTCGGCGTCGAGCAGCGTCTTATTGGCCATGCTCTCCTCCCGATGCATGTCGATACCTACTGCAAGCCTCAACGCCATGCCAACGGTGTACCACAAATTGACCGACTGCGGCTCGTTGCTGCCGAAAAGGCAGAGCAGAGAAAGACAGCGTATGCAGTCGAGGTCATCAGCTGAAAGTACTGCGTCGAGATCACGCACAGCTGCCTCGAAGAAGACCTCGTGAGAAACGGGCGCGTCTGAGCTGATTCGTGCTTTTTCTGATGCTCCAATCGCGAGAACCATGTGGACTTCAAACGCTGACAGTCTGCTCCGTACTTGGCCGTTGCAGTACGGTATGTAATGTTGCTCCATGAACGACGGGCGATGAAGGACCGGGTATTGCGGCCATCGACGATCGAAGAATACTTCAATCAGGCTGAGGCCGTCTCGGTGAAGCGAGAATGTGTTTGACGTGGCGGTCGGAGGCGTCTCACTGGCTGACAGCCCATGCCACAGCTGCCAAGGTCCCGTCATAAACCCCGTCTCAGAAGCGCCGTTAGGTCCCAATCCTCTAAAAGTTGGCAGAAGCATGCGTCCAACATATCCCCTCTCCAAGCTCGCAACCGAGCCATCGGGTTCTTGGCGATCGGCGACAGATCTTATCTGCAGATGACTCTCCTGAGAGCGAGCTTCCGAGGGCAGTCTCGATTGCATGGCGAGTTGTGTCTGCAGCTCGTTCACGCGGTCTTTCAGGCGCTCTACCTGGCCTCTCAGATGGTCGCACTCGCATTCCCTGTCGACCTTGACAACGAGACGATCTGAGGGGACACAAGGCACATTTGCAGCAGCACAAGCCCCGCATACGGGATGTCTGCCGTCACACTTTGGTCACAAAAAGTCAGTCCATTATGTCGTCGACGACCCGAGAGGATGTGGTAGCACGTACTTTTTGTTTTCTTCGGCGACATCTCTGGCACGCTGCAGATATCCTCTTGAGGCCACGACGCGGCGATCTTATCCGGTCAGTGTCCCTGTCTGAGTGTGTGTCGTAAGCAGAGGCCGATTCGAACACGGCGGGAAGTTCTCCATCATCGGTGGCAGACATTTTTCGGGATGGGGTTTTTGGTGGTGATGGTTCATTAATGAGGGATGAAATTGTTACTGCGAAAGAGTCAGAACTGACCCACTTTATCGATAAGGACAATCCATCTCCGGTTCAATGCCGGCATAGCCGATGCTGGAAAGATGGATCTTGCTGAGATTCGGCCGGATTCGGCCCTTATGCCCGGCCTTATCTCGCATGTCGTGATAATCGTCATGTTTTATACTGGGAACAACCGATGTTCAGAGTTTTCTTGGTGTTTAGATAAGAATCTATTTATACAGTGGCTAGACCATGTTAAAGTCGGTCAGATCCAAGCTCTAATGTTGACGTCATTGATGAAATTTCTGAATTCAATGAGACTGACTGGGCTTTTCTTCTACAACAATGGTTGTTTTCTGGGAAAGACTCTGATTTGCAAGCTGTTGTTCACAGCCTCTCAGTGGAGGAGTTGGCGTGTAAGCCATTTTGCGGTTTATTATCCTACCGTTATCTCTGTGGAGAATACCTTCACTGCTCATAAATGTTGCCACTCAAGTTCGTTGACGACCTAGTTCTAGTTCTATTTGGGTCCAAAGGCAAGCTTACTGACATAATAGCAAGTTATTTATTGCTTTCTATATAGCATTGCTAGTTCCAGAGTCTTTAATTAAATCTGTTACGGGTAGTTAAGCTTACAAGTCTCCAGGGTATGTAAAGCCCAGGAATGATGTCATTTCTCCAAAATCCCCAGGTGAGCGAACTCAAGCGCAAAAACGGAGCCAACAGGTGGAACAGACTCACCATTGCTTAACGCCGATAAGGCTGAATAAAATGAACTACTGAGAAAGAGACATAGCAAGAGACTCAAGGGTCCTCTCCAGTCATGACTCCACTCAATCGGGCTTCTCGGTATCTCTGAGCCCTTGTCATCATGGTCAAGCTCTTCAGTTAGCGCAATGCCCCAACCAGTGAAAACACAGCACTTCTACCCCGCAAACAGCACTATCAGTAGCCTAAACCGAGTCTTCGGGGGGCAAGCTTATCACTACGGAACCCCATCGGAAGCCGGTGGTACATACGCCCTCTCATCGCCCTTATCTCTACGGAATGCCCCCCAGTCCCCGTCACAAACATCCCCAAACCACCACAGACCACAATGCCTCGCCCAATAGTCCCAGCGCACCAACGCCAAAGAGCAGCAGAAGCCTGCAACCTGTGTCGCGAGACGAAAAAGAGATGCAGCGGCTCAGCGCCCTGTACGCAATGTGTCCGTCGCGGTCTTGAGTCGCAGTGCTTCATCACCTATGCTCCGAGGGGTTCGAGAACAAGAGCTCGCGCTGAAGCTGCAAAGGCTGCGGCGGCGGGTTCGGTGACGACGGAGCAGATGAGTGCGGGTTCGCATCAGAGCAGTCAGCCGATGGAGACGGATGAGGGGTATAGACCTTTGTCGCCGTCGCATTCGCAGCAGGATGATGAGAAGGACAGCCAGACTGAAGCATCGAATCCACCGCGGATGCTGCTGAACTCGAGAGGCGAAAGAGGTATGAAAGCCTGTCACAATTGCCGATGAAATGCTTATTTGTTAGTCTATATTGGAGGCGCAGCGTCAATCTCGTTTCTGCAGATTGTACGAAATTTGGTGTCGCAGCAAATTGGACCATCGGCATTTTCTCACAATGAGAAGAGCGACACCATGCTTGAGATTGAATCACCAACAGCTACAACACACGATGAGACGAGTGCGATGAGATTAAGTCCCGATCAGAAGCAGCAATATTTAAGGTCTTATTACGTAGTGGTATGTCTACACCAACAATCATCGAATGTATGCTAATGAAAGCAGACCGAAGCATTAATCCACGTCTTTGACGCGTCAGAACTCGAGACTCTCCTCAATCTAGACGACGACACAGGCTACTCCCCATCTCCCAATCTCTCACCTCTCAAACAAGCCTCAATAGACCTAGTAATCGCAATCGGCGCTCAATGCGAGTCCCTCTCCAGCGCGAAAACAATAGGCCAAGCATATTTCCGCCGCGCTCGCAGCCAAGCATTCGTCGGCTTCCTCGAAGATCCAGACCTAGATATGGTCCGCACATTCCTCCTCATGGCATTCTTCATGCTCGGCGAGTGTAGAAGAAACGCAGCATTTATGTATCTCGGAGTCGCTGCAAAAGCCGCCCTCGCTCTAGGTCTGCATAGCAGAGAGTCTTATGCTGCGAAGCCAGGTCCGGAGGATCAGGCAAAGTAAGTTTGGGCCTTTATAGTGATTCGGATGTGGCTAATGGCTTAGGTTGCGGGTATGGATGAGCGTGTGTATCCTTGATAAGCTTGTTAATTCGCTTCTCGGCCGCCCATCCGCTTCTGCCCAGATCCGATCGAATAGCAGTAGTAAATTGGATGACGTCGCGCAGAAGGGCGATAGCATCACCGAGCATTTGATGGCGTCAAACAGAGTTTCCACTATCATCAACGATATCACAGATACGCTTTATGACCAGAAAAAGGTCACGACTGCCATTGTAGAGCAGTTCCTCCAAGACATTGAACGCTGGAAACGAGAGCTTCCTGCTTCGGTCAAGATACCCTCAGCAGATCCCAGTCCAGGAACAGTAACGCAGCAACACGGCGCGATTGCCAAGGTTTACGTGTCGTGTCTGTATTACCTGGCTGTTATGCTCGTTTCCAGACCGTTTTTGGTCTCGGCACTTACATCCAAGGGTCTTGGAAAGGGAGCCCATACTCAGCTGGCCGCTGCGTGTCTTGATGCAGCAATGTATCTGTCGCAAACATGTTCCGAAGCTCTCAACGCTGGGCTACTACAAGGGAACATGTGCATTATGAAGTAAGTTCACTGGCTATCTACAATGATCTACATTCTAACAGCCTACAGAGCCCTCGTCTTCGCATCAGGACTCGTACTCGGTCTAGAGATATTCGCCAAATACCCCGTTGAATCAGACATTAGCAACGCATTCGAAGGCGCCAAAGACGTCCTCAGGCATTTAGCAACGCAAAGTCCACAAGCAGCGCACTATCTTGACATTCTGACAACTCTGTCTGGGGCTATTGACAAGCGACGAGCAAACGAGGCATCTAGTGGAAGAAGCCGCTACGTCTCCAAGCTGTTCAGTCTGGATGCACCGCCTGAAACGGCAGGGTCACAGTCTGCCCAGCAGATGCTGGATACAATGTTTCCTTTCACAGATACTCAGACTGGTCCGATGATGGATGATTCAATGCAGGATTGGGTGTTTCAGCAGCCTGATGGCGGGGATTTTAGTTTGGACTGGGAGACGTTGAATGTATCGTTATGGGATACGTATCCATTTTTATCATGAGTTAGCTGTCTGTAAAACTGTATGAATTGATGAGCCTGTATGAACAATCAACATTTTCAATATCTTTCGTAACAACCGTCGTGATAATACCGACACTGACTCCTCGCATCAACCTCCGCTAATCATCGGTACAATTGATCAAGCGACTACCCCAGAAATCTCCATCCACGATCCGCAGATCCGCACAGAGGCTACCGCAAACACGCGGGTGCTATCAGCAAAACGGGGGCAGTGCGTTACCCGACGCTAGCGGATATCGCACCACTTCCGTGCTGTGGACTTCCGCTATCTCCAGATAACCTATCGTGAATACGGAACTTCCGAAAATTGCAGCCGCAGGCGGTTCAAGTTGTTGATAGTGGTTGCAGGGCGGGTATGAACTCTGAATGGTTGGCGATCCGGGGTAGATAACGTTTGGACGTGAGGAAGCTAAATAGTGATGGTTGCTCGACTTCAAATCGAATTAATTCATCATCATCAACTCATTCAATACAATAACATCTCATCTCATCCTACAGTCACTCAATCTCAACATCTCAACTTGACTCCTCATCATATCTCACATCCTCTCACATCTTCACACCTTCACACCTTCACACCTTCAAAATGATCAAGGACAACGCCCCCACGATGCCCAACTGGAAGCGCCTCAACGTTGGCGTCATCGGCGGTGGCATCGGTGGCATGTCAGTAGCCATCGCTCTCCGCCGCGCAGGCCACGACGTCACCATCTACGAGCGCTCAGACTTTGCCGGTGAAGTCGGCGCCTCAGTATCCTGCGCCGCCAACGGAACCCGCTGGCTGCACGAGTGGGACGTCGACGTCGCCAAGGGTGACCCCGTCGTTCTCAAGAAGCTCATCAACCGCGACTGGAAGACCGGCGAGCCTGTCAGTGTGTACGATCTCGATGACTACGAGAAGCGATGGGGTTTCGTGTACAACATGTTCCACAGGCAATACATGCACGCTATGCTCAAGGACACTGCTATGGGCGAGGGAGAGGGTACCCCTGCTAAGCTACTGGTCAACCACAAGTGCTCCGCTATCGACTTCCCCACAGGCACTATCACTTTTGAGAATGGTGTCACTGCCAAGCACGATCTTATCATTGGTGCTGATGGTATTGGCTCTGCTGTACGAAAGATCCTCGGCATCAACCCTGAGAAGAAGCCCTCCGACCAGAGCTGCCTCCACTGCAACGTCACAACCGAAGAGGCCGTCAAGGCTGGTCTCGTCGACTACTCACTAAACAGTGCTCTTGAGTACTGGGGCGGTCAAGAAGGAAAGTGGGACAAGATCGTCCTCTCTCCTTGCAACGGTGGCAAGCTTCTCTCATACTACTGCTTCTTCCCTCGCGAGCAGGGTGACTACACAACACAGGCCTGGGGATCTGAGGACCTCCCCACCGAGGATCTCCTCAAGCCTTACCCTGAGCTCGACCGCCAAGTCTTTGGACATCTTGCCATTGGAAAGGAAATCCAGCCCTGGCGTCTGTGGGTTCACCAGCCTTACCCCTACATTGCCAAGGAGAATGTCTGCCTTCTCGGAGATGCTGGTCACCCCATGATGCCTCACCAGTCTCAGGGTGCATGCATGGCTATTGAGGATGCTGCTGCTCTTGGTATCCTGTTCAGCAAGCGATACTTCAACGGTGATGTCAAGCAGGCTCTTTCTGTCTAC